TCAACTACATGTTTCTGCCCTTCCCCTCTGCATTTGTGTGGCCACACAGCAAGCCAGGGCAGGCAGCAGCTCCACTGAAATACAATCATTTTAAAGCTGAGGAGGAATAGTGTGGCCAGCAGCACTTTGGGCTGGTAGGCTGGCCCCGGAGCAGTCTTTCTCCAAATTATTTTTCTTCTTCTTGATTTCAGCAAAGATCTTAGGGAAGGTGGGCGAAAGCCTGAGCCGTATTTGCTGCGTGCGCCCGCCGATGGAGCGCTTCACCTTTGTGGGTAAGCATGGAAAACAGCCAACCCCATCCCTGCTTCCACTTCACACCCTCGTCTTGCTCATCTGCCCCAGCTCACGGCAAGGACATGGATCCCACATGCTGCCTTTCGTCCCAGACTTGCAGCTAAGCCTTGCAGCGCTGAAGCCTGGTTACAGGGAGGCGCTGTGAGCCCTCCCGCGCGCTCCGGCGCTCCGTTCAGCCACTGCCACACAACAAGCCTGAGGCTCCGCGCGGCCACGTGCTGCCCGGCTGTACAAACACAGAGCTGTCACTGTATTTTTCTCACTGTATTTCTTTGATACAATTTGGGCAGTGCCAGGCACAGGCAGGACAGGGGTGCAGGTAAGAGGGACCCGGTCCCTTGACTGCTTCAAAGACTGACCTAACACCCCACACAACAGCTCATGAGCCACCCACACAACACCCTAGAGAGCCACAGTCTCGATGGGCTGTGGACACTAGCACCCTCTCTTTCTTCTCTTCCAGATGAAAATGCAAACTTGGGGACAGTGATGAGATATGAGGAGATTGGTGAGTACCTGGCCCCTTGCACATGGTGTGTTGGTCCAGCTCCTCTGGGCCAAGGACACATAAGAAGTGATGTGGCAAATGAAGGATGCTAGACCATCCCCTCCCCCTGGTGCCCATCCTCTGGACTCAGGGCTTCACCAGGAGCAGCACGAAACTGCCCAGAGCCAACTCCCTTCCTCAGAGAAGCAGCATAAAGCCTGGGACCGAGTAGCAAGGGACCTGGTTCCCAGCTCTGGTGCTGCTTTGCCATGATGCAGAGCCAACCACATTAATGCTGAGAGCCCTAGAAGTCACTGTGAGCACAGTGAAACCTGCCCTCAGGCTTCCAAGACCACATACAGCACATTCCTCAAAAGGTTTATTCCATCTGCTTTGCAGCATGCACCGGGGCCCACGGTGAGGGAACCCAGCATCCCGCGCAGAGACAAATGCAGACCCCTAAGGGGTCCCCTGAGAAGACCTGGGCTGTCATTGCTGGGCACTGGTGCCAAAAGACCAACATCTTCATGGTTCTCGCTGCCAGCGGCTCTTCTCAGTCCTCCCTACCCGAGCAGCTTGGTAGCTTTCCACTGCTGGTTGGTCAAATAAACCAATCCTAGCACATGCACTAGGTCCCTACAGAGGTCCAGTATCCCTCCAGAGCTGAGAAGTCCTTCAAGACATCTGCTCAGCCTGCTTCCACCTCTGAGCTTTCCCATTTCTTTCCTTCAGAGCTGCGCATCCTACTGCTGTGCGGCAGCGACCTGCTGGAGTCCTTCTGCATCCCCGGTCTCTGGAACGAGGCTGACGTGAGTGGCTGCCACCACTGGGCAATCTTTTCCATTCCCCTTCTTCCAGGCCTTGTTCCTCCTTCTCAGCTTTCACCCATTATGACCTTTCTAAAAGCACAGTTTTCCTGGGCACCTGCTCAGATCTTCAGGCAACAAAGTAATTTCTCTAGTAGTGCTAACACTTCCATGCAAGCTCTGAGCAATCTCTATGCTCAGGTTGCTCAGGTTGGCATTTATACTCCCAAAACATTGGGATTAAGGCATAATTAAAAGCCCTGAAACATCACCAAACTTGGCCACTGAAATCTCATCTCAAGAAGATCATTGCCATGACTTACATAGAGTAAAAATGCTGCCTACCACACCATACTCCCATCCGGGCAATTCCAGTCAGGCATGTGGATGGCTAAGGTAGTAACAGGGTCCGACTCACTCTAGATACTGCTATCCCTGTCTAAAAGAGTAGTATTTTCACAAGAGGAATCTCATCCTAAAGAGAAGAGTTGGTTTACTGACTCATTCATTCCCTACAGCACTCTAGAATTATAGCAGGAAACTGCTGGCAATGAAAGATGTTTCAGCCAGCTGGACAAGATGCTGCTTCCACATGCCAGCGAAACCATATTGCTCACAGCAGTCAAAACAGTGCTGAGCTGTGGGATCTGATCTGGCTCTTCACTAAAATTAGCCAAGGAAGTGTTTGTTTCCAGGGAGAAGGGGGAAAAAAAAAAAAGCCCATCTCCAGGTGCAGGGAGCCGTCCTCCTTTCTTTTCGGCTAAGGACTTGGTCAGGCCAATCCATATGGCTGCAGGTTGCTAGGAAACACCATCCTCTCCATTCTAGTGAGAACCTCATCGTAGGGATCCATACATCACCTCCAGGTTGCTAAGAAACCTCTTTCCTTCTAGCCTGATGAAAATCTGGCCACAGCAAACCACACAGCATCACCTCAGGGATAATAATAAATCCATAAATTTAAAAAATGCATAGATAAATAAATCCAGGGCAGAAGGGATGTCAAGACAACATGTCCAGTTCAGCAGTACAGCTGCTCACCTTCTCCCTGGCTCAGAAAGATCCCTAAACTTGGCATCCTTAACCTAAGAATCCTTAAACCTCTCTACAGTTGCCAACATCAGCTGCTATTGCCTTAATCCTAAATATTCAAATAATTAGTTGCTAGATACCTACTCTGAAAGGCCGCAAAATCTGAGATAAAACAGATCTTGAAGCTGAGATCAAAGTGTGTGAAAGTTGGATGCCAAAAGAGATGGTATCCAGCACCAGAACTACCTCATTGATTCCTACTGTCATAGATTACTGAAAATCTTAGAGGTTGCCAAGAAATGCCCTTAATGTGCTTTACGTTTCCCTCAAACTTTTTCAATATTTTTGTGAAATATTATTGAAAGGAGGTGGAATTATTGTGAGTTACGCAATTGGAAGGAAAACATGGTCCTTGTTTAGGACATCTCCTGCAGCTGTTGCTGTCTTTACTTCGTAGCAAGGTCATTTCTGTCAATACCATCCAGATGTCTGTCCTCAGGGTCTGTCTAAACATGTTTTTTCCTGTGAGCAGGGCCTCACCCTGGTGCCTTCACCTCCCTGTCTATTCCCTCTTGTTCTCCTCCTACTGCTTTTCAGTGTTTTTTTTTTCTCAATTCAACTCTCTCATTCCACCAGTTTATGGAATTCCATCAGTTTATCTCAGAGAGGAAACAAAGAGTGCAGGCCCACTCCAAAGTACTGCTGTTTGTTTTAATTTTGTTTGAAGTGTTTTAATGTTACAATCATTTGTAACATTGGTCTTAAGCAGTATTTTGATATGTAGAAAGCACACAAAGTCAAACTGTAAGTGATCTTGCCATGTATTCCCCTGAATATCTACTGAGCGGGAGTAGGGTGAGCGTAAAGAGTGACAGCCTTGATGTCAAACTGAAGCTTTCTCTGCCCAAGACAGGAACAGATCTCCTAGACCTTTACAGGAACAACACGTCCATCCTGTTCCTTAATCCTTCCAGTGCAGCAGATTTCATGCCCTCCTCAAGCAACAACTAGTGCTGCACTGCTTTTATCATGATAAATTCCTCCTAAAGCTTAACATGAATGCCCATTGGTAGGATTTAGCTCTGTTTCTTTCTCATCTACTTACCACAAACCCATTGAGAGCATGTCACCAAGAGCATCTCTTAATAAATCTGCCTTTCTGCCAGAGGCCGTCCGGAAAAGTAAATTAGAGACTAACTCCATTCACATCATCACTAAGATTTCACCAAATCCATAGCCTGGTTCAGGGGTATTTTGGCAGACAGTTATTTGCTATGTCTGTCTTATTCTGCACTGGGAGGTTACGAAAAAAAAAGTGTTGTTTTGCACTGTTCTTCTGTTTGTAATCTGTTTGCGTTGGTCCTAGATGGAAGTAATTGTTGGGGAGTTTGGGATCGTGGTGGTGCCGCGGGACGGAGCAGACCCTGACCGGATCATGAACCATTCTTCAATACTCCGCAAATACAAAGTAAGTGGATTTGCACAAGCTGGCACCCTGCCCGTAGCTAGGGAAGGCCATAGGGGCATCCTTGGCCCCTCTGTGTGGGCAGTTTGGCTGTGGGGGAGCCCTTTGTTGCCCTACTTTCACAAGGAAAAATCTTCTCATGAGACAGAACAGGCAGCTGGGGACATGGCACACTGGGCATCTGACCAGGCTACCTTCAAAGCCCCCCACTGGCTTCACGCCAGCCTTCAACTGCGATTAACACTAATGCTACCAAGTCGAAGCCCCTGTCTGGCTGCCTGAGGCCTGGGGTACCTGGAACATGAGGCTGCCCCTCAGGCAGAGCTGCATCTGGTGGAGCAGGCACCTGCTACAAGGAATTTCCTTTTGCTTCTCTTTCCTCTTCCCCACAGAGTAACATTCTGGTGGTGAAAGATGACTCCAACCACCCCATGTCGGTTGTCAGTTCGACCAAAAGCAGGTGCGTGATGCAGAGGGGCTCCTGTTATGGGGGGAGAAAGATGCCACCAGCCCAGCCTCCCACACGGGAGGTTCTGCCTGAATTTGAGGAAAAACTTCTTGACTAGGAGGGTGACAGAGCACTGGAACAAGTTGCCCAGAGAGACTGGGGAGTCTCCATCTCTGGAAATATTCAAAACATGCCTGGATGTGATCCACATCCAGGATCCTGTGCCACATGCTGTAAGTGACCCAGTTTGTACAGGGGCATTGGACTAGACCATCTGCCTAAGCCAAGTCTCTTCAACCTCAACCTTTCTGGGTCCCGGCCAGCAACACCTAATGCTTGGGGGAACCATTCCACAAGCAACTGCAGGTCTGGGGCACTGCGTCCTCACATCCTACACCTGCACCCTAAATGGTTGCTTCTCCTGGCACCCCCTTGCTTTCCCCACAGGGCCACTCAGGCCAACAGCCCCCCAAGTGCATTGGCCTGAGTATGTGCAGCCAGGACAGCAAACTACTGAATGTGGGATAATGGGATCCCCGGAAGCTGCTGGGGTAGCTGGGGTTTCTGTGATGCCCCTGCCCTGGGCCCCAGCTCTGGTGAGCTCTGACCCCTTCTCCTCTCCTGCCTCCCCAGGCTGGCGCTGCAGCACGGGGATGGACACGTTGTGGATTACCTCTGCCAGCCCGTCATCGACTACATCCTCAAGAGCCAGCTCTACATCAACGCCTCTGGTTAAGAGCCCCTGGGGGCCTTGCAGCGAGACAGCCCCGTTGTCCCACTTCCCTACAGTCTCCATCACATTCCTCTCTCTCTCCGTCTCTCTCTGTCTCACGGCCTCCTGCCTGTGTCTGCCTCTCACTCCCGGCGCCAGCGCTCCATACTGCAGGAATGTTCAAGGAACCGTGGCATGGCCCAAAGGGGAAACAGTTCGGTCTCTTCTTCAGGGTCCTGCCCTCCCCCTCCTGCCCTGGGAGGGTCAGGAGCGGAAGGATAAAGATGCACCCGCTCAGGGTGCTCTAGGAAAGGCAGCTCCAGCACCCATCCTCATGGCATGTCCCTGGGAAATGGCCCCCTGCTCCATCCTCCCAGCACGCTCAAGAGTGCAGGCGGCTTCTTCTGCATCATCTTATGACACATCAGCTCAGTAGATCTAGGTGGACCTTTTTACCAATAGTTTTAGTGTGAGCCCCTCTGGCCTCTAAATCAAGTGCATTTGGTAGCGGGCAGGTTCGCTCAGCACTCCCTTGGCTGGCAGATCTCCTCAGGCAGCAGCAGCAGAAATCCTCCTGGCTCCCCCCCAGAATCAGAGATTGTGTTTCTAGAGGGGAACAGAGACCTTAGGAAGCTTTTCTGCCAAAGAGAGGTATTTAGTGGGCAGAAAGGTCATGTCTCATCATTCCTTGGCTGCAAATGAAGCCAAGATGGCCCCTAGGTAAGCAGAACTGGGGTGAAAGTCCAACAACAACCCTTCCTCCTCCCAGCCAGAGGAGCAGCTCACAGCACTTGAAAAGGGACCTGCTATTAACTAGACAAAGAATGAGAGGAAGAAATGGGAGAGCGCTGTAGGGGCTGGGCCCATCCTGTGGGATTGCCGTAGGGCGAGGGATGCTGCGGGGCAAGGAGAGGCTGATGGCTCTGGCACATCCGTGCTGAACTCCAGTCCATTTCACGTCTGCACCACAGGAGGCTGCAGCCTGGGGTGCAGACACCCATCGCCAGGGTGTGCCTGGGGGAAAGGAGGCAGGTTACAGGGGTAACTCAGCCATGATTGAAGAAAGTCCCAGGGCTGTGGCTGCAGCTAGAGCTCGCTGAATGTGCTGCCTTATGGGCACTGGGCAGGTAGAGCAGAGAGCTCAGGAGAAGCCCAGGCAGAAGACCAGGGAGCTCATCAGCAGCTCCAAAAGACACCGGATGCTCCACTCTACTTCCATCCCAGGAAAGATCCCTTGGCATCTTCCTTCTTCCACTCTCCAGCTCTTCATTTCACTTGTAAACTTTCCCCTTTTCCCTTCCTCGCTCCCATCTTCCACCTTGAAGAGCTTAGTAAATGCATGCTATTTTCCTCCTCCCAGATTTGCTTTGGACACTCCAGACCTCCCTTAGGACAAACCAACCTTCTGCTTTCCTGTCTACAACCCTGCCTATAACACGAGACCAAAAGCCAGGAAAAGAGCCTGCTGGAGAAGTTTCTATAAAAACCAGGGCAGGTAACATGGAGCAGTAGAAAACTGTTCAAGTCCTGCATGGCCAAGGATGACTGTTGTCCTCTGTCTCTAGAGTACAAGGATGTACAGTCCCTGCTTATCCTGACAATACAGCTTTTTGGGAAGATCACAACAGAAAAAAGGAAGGTTCAGTCCTGCTTTACTCCTAACCTTTTCCTGTCCTTTTGCTCCATCTAACCTTTTATCACTTTAGGATTAGCCTTGGTGTCTATAATTCTTTGACACCTGAATGTTCCCCACAAACTTGGGCTAACTAGGTTTGGAGAAGCCTCATCACAGCCCTAGCCCAAAGACCAATTGCCGTTCATGCTGGCCTTGTGGCTTTCCAAGTGAAGCGCTGTCCGTGAACCCAACAACAGAGAGTGGGTCACTGAAGGCCAAGTGTCCTCTGGGGTTTTTCAGGAGTAGAGCTGAAATTACATTCGATTTTTTATTATTCCCCTAAAGTCTAGAAAGGGTCACAAACTGCTCTGGTAGAAGCTTCAAAGACAAGACGTTGCACCAGATCTGAGAGCCCTGCTGAATGCAGCCACCCTGCATGCTGTGCATTTGTTAGAGCCTGCTCCAGCAAAAGGCTTCTAGAATCTCCAACAGCAAACATGACTTCAGGCAAGACAGCCCAGCCTGCACACAAGAGCTCCTTGCAGTGCGCAGGGCTTTGCCAGCGGTAGCTAACAGCTCCTCGGAGGAGGACACTGCAGCCTCCTAGAAGGGAAAGTGCAAGATATGGCATGGAGGGAACTTGCTCAAAGCAGAGCATTTGATTTGCTGCCAAGCAGAGCGTTTGCTCATTGCTGCCCCTTAGGGAAAGGCCAGGGCTTTTTTTAACTGCTGTCCACCGCCTTTCCTGGCCAGGAGTTTCCTTACACATCAAGAAGCCAGTCCAGAAACTGTTGTGGTCATTTCACAAATGGCAAGTTTGGCAGTTTGCCCAACTCTAGCCCACAGCTCCAGCTCTGGCATCTCCCAACAGTTGTGTGTGTGTGTATATATATATGTATATATGTGTGTGTGTGTGTAAATATATACACACACACATATATCTCCAGAGGGGTGAGGAAATACAGAGATATCAAACCAGACAGGGTGAGGAGTGTGTTCAGGAATCAACGTATAAGAACAGGTCTTCTCTAGGGATGTCTTCAGTGAGTTCAAGCTGCTAACATCCCACTGAGCCCCCTTAGCTAACACAGTGGGCAGATGCTCACAGGGGGGAACCATCTCAATATATGTAAGCCAGTAGCTAGACTCCTCCAAATCAGTTGTTCTTACTGTCCTGTACATTCAGTTTTTCAGTCTTTCCTCTCCATCTCAACACAGAACTTCTCTCAGACAGCAGCCTCATCTCCTTGCCAGGATTCACCCATGTTTCTTAGCTCCAAGCTGGGGGAGAGAAAGCAATGTTAGAAACCAACCTCCAACACACATCCAAAAGGATTTTAACCTCATGGAGGAGTGAATCATCTTTGAAGAGGAGGAAGGAATGCGGATTTTAACTGAGGACAAGACAAAAAAGGATAAAAAGATACTAAAGAGGAATGAAGGCAGCATGCCTAAGAATCTGAAAGACCTCAGACCCCTCCCTCCCTGCCTCCCTCAGGTAAACGAGATGGGACATATGGGAAGCCAGCTGGCTTTCAATCTCATCATGTTTAGGACAGCATGCCTTAGAGACATAGCGTTGTGATATGGATGAATATATTCTGTCTTACTAGTCTTATCTACACCTTCATATATCTGCTCAGTAAAACTCACCGTACAGGGCAAGGATGGGGAGGGAGGGGGGTTTGTAACAGACAGGTGAACACTGGGGCTGGTTTGGAAAAGGTTGTTGGGTGGGTACGAAAAGCCATCCCTCAAGACCCAAGCAGGTGCTGGGTAGCTGAGGAATGGGGATTCCAGTGAACGGGTGGGGCAGGGAAAAAGCTCGTGGGTTTTGGTTTTTGAACACGTGATTTTAAACGGCGCAATTTGCTGAAAGAATAATGAACTTCAAACACCTTTTGAATAAAAGGGGGGAGGGAACAGGGTAGAAGTTGTCATGTCACTGATTCCACTTTTGTGAAAGGTTTTGGAGCCTGATTTTTTTTCTTCTGTTGCTGTATAAAAAAATTGTCATTGACAAAAAAAACTTTATCAGCAAAATGTTTAAATTATGTAATAAATAAACAAACAAAAGATGTTACTGACGTTGTCCTTTGCTGCTGCTCTGTCAGGCAGGGAAGCCTCCCTGCTCCTCTCTTCCAGCGGGCAGGATGAGGACAACCTGCTGCGCTCATTTTACAGTCATTTCCAGGAGGGAGAGCACGCAGCCTCCTCATGAAATGCAACTCTGAGCTACTCTCGTCGCTTTGCAGTCATATCAAACTGGCTCCTCCTGGCATCAAAGTCTTGTCTGCTACAAAAAGAAGCCTGGCAGAACACCTTGCTGCTGTTACCTAAGGAAGAAAAAAGTTGAGAGTGCTTCTTTCTCAACATGAATAGCAAGATTTTCCACAGGAGAGCAGGGCAAGGATGCCAGGGAGAGGTGTCTGGGTTCTTCTGCTCCACTAGCCCTCTTTCCATCCCACAAGCGCCTGAGGTCTGTGATGTGGACACTGAAATGTGGGACACTGAATCAATTCCCTGGAGGGTTAATTTGACCTCAGATCTCCACAGACAGATCCCTTAATGTGTGCAGCTTTTCCAAACAGTCGCAGGGTTGAGCCAGCATGAACTGGAATAACTGCTGGAATAAGGGACAGCCACATGCTCCCAGGCTGCCTTCCTTATCTCATTCTGCTTCCCTCCAGAACTCTCCAAAATGCACCAGCTAGTGAAAATAGTAAGCAAGATCCAGTCAAAAAATAATTATTATTTATTGATTTCCTCCCCTTGAAAAAAAAAAAACAACTCCAGGTTGACAAATAAAGATGTGACAAATAAAGTCACATCCACAGTACCTATCCTATACTGCACAATGGGAGAGGGAAAACATGCCAAAGGCAAATATATATCACTTAAATAAAAGCATGACACAGGCAATTATTCAATATATATATAACAAAAGCATTGGCACTGCTTTATCAGAGAACCAGAGATAACAAGGGATAAGTTCATCCCCCTCCAAAGCGTCCTCCTCCTTTAGTATCAGAGTCCTCTTTTAGTTCAGTCCTCTTTCATCAGCACTCAGGTCCGGGCTCTTCAGCACAGTTCAGCCTCAGCAGCTGCTACCCCCAGGCTCTACTCCCTAAAGTGGTGCCAAAAGGCTGGAAATGGTGTCAAAACAGAGCTGAACCCACAAGAAAATGGAGGTGAAGGGAATGTCATGGTTCCTCCAAGCTCTCATCAGGGGAGATTTACAGGAGAAGAGGAGAAAAACTCAAAACAAGAATCTGTATACAGTTACTTTGGCGCTAGAGTCTTCTCTGTGAAACATTCAACACCACACCTGAGGGAGGGGAAGGAACGGACAGCACCCAAACTGAGGTGGAGACACATTTAAGCCATTTTTAAAGTTTTTTTTTTTTTTAAACACATCAAATCAGGTTGCTGACAATCCACCAGTCTGGGCACAAACTCCCAAACACTATCACTTTTGGCTGTGATCCCTGGAAGTAAGCACCTGCTCTTGCCACAGAAGAGCTACTGGATCTCTGGTGCTCGTGTGGAAGAGACGGGAACTTTCTTTCCATGGGCTCAGGGATACCCAGGAAGGTGCATGGTAC